GGTTTAGGTTTAGGATCCAAAAAATGGAACCCTTTAAAGGGGTTTATAGGGGTCTATATAGGCGTATATAGGGTTTAAGGGTTTAGGGATTAGGGTTTAGGGTTTAGGATCCCAAAAAATGGAACTCCCTAATAATTCCCTAGTTAGCCCTAGTTTCCAATGTAGTAATGGGTTCATATTGGGGAGGTTCCATTTTTTGGATCCTTTAGGGGGTCTGGGTATGGGTGTCACATAGGGCTATATATGGTAATACAGGGATGTCAGGGTCAAGGTTTGAGGGAGAAGGGGCATAATTCTGGACGTCTTCAGCAGTTTCCTGTGGCTGCATCTGTTTATGCTGCACTTGGCCATGCTGGACCTTCTTGTGGAAACTCTGTGTGCCCAGCGCCATGTCCAGAAACGCTGCGCCACGGCAGGGGACTGACTTAATGAAGCCCCGCACCTGCCACTTCAATTTATGTTGGCATCACACTTCACCTACATACTTCAATTCAAAAAAGCATGTCTGCAAAAAGCTGCAAGTCAATGTTTGCAAAATGTGCCGGGCAGTCAATATTTGATGGGACCAGTCGAGGAACATGTGGATCCACATGGAGCAGGTTGCAAACCTGAGGAGCTGCCATCATCTCCTACCGGGGACCACGCTCCTGCTTATCCACTTCTCAGTCATGCTTGCGGTTGAGTCTTCAGCACGGATTCCCCCATCAGGAAGAGCCTGGACGTCCACCTACAGTCTACAGGCAAGAAGGAAGGTGGACCATCAACGTTGGTGCATCTGGTGCAGCTTGCCATGGACAGCTGCGTTGCGGCATTCTTGAAGGTCTGTCCCTGCTTGAGCTTCTCCACCTCTGCAGGTCTGAAATCTTACTGCACTTCCCCACATATGCATAAGACCAAGCTGACATGGCCCAGCACAAGGATATCGACACTGTTTTAAAATCCTCCAGCTTTCCGTCCGACGCGCATTTGCCCATCAGCGAGACATAGCGAGACACTTCATAGGCTCGTAGCTTGTCACTCAGAGTTTTTTCTCGAGCAAGCTGGTCTTCCTGTCTTCCCGCTTCACCTGACACGTGGAGCATGGCAGTGGCCTTCGTCCAGCATTCTGTCCAGGCCCTCTAAAACCCTCCAGGCCTCCAGAAATCAGAAGCCTGCTGGCCTGGGAACTCCGCAGCCAGTGCAGGCCTGGCACATGACACCAGGCAATCTATACAACGCGATATGCAGCGTATAAAGGAATTCCAGTAATGTTGACCTCATATTAATAAA